TAAACAGATTAGGATATCCGTATTTAATCCGAATTATCGGATCAATTCGAATTGTCGGATTACGGATCGAAACACTACATTTTACTATGATCATTCTCTGGTTGACTGGTGAATCACCAATTAAATTTAAGTTATTGAGATTTTATGATAAAGACTTCTGCTAGTTAATTTTATTATAAATCTAGTTATTTTATGCATAACAGTTTTTTTCTTCGTGACAATTTAATTAAAATTTAGAACTTCGATTAATTTCGATTAACCAATAAAATTTTTACTATATCACGGGATGATCTACAGAAATTGGTCAATCACAATAAAAACCCACAAAACTAGAGATTTGATTGGTTAAGTCACATGAATGCTAACGCTAACTATAAATGTGTATTTCGAAAAAAAAATTTTGCTTATCATAATTCAAAAACACTTCTGCATTTTATATCATTTTAATCATGCCAAAAATTAGACATGCGCGGACTAAAAAACCTCCGGAAGGGTTCGAAGACATTGAACCAACTTTGCTTGAGTTTGCTCGAAAAATGAAAGATGGTGTGTGTTTAAAGTTTTTTTTTTTCTTTTTATTTTCGTTTGATTTAACAAACGTTTGACCTTAAACATTCCGCAGCTGAGAACGAACCACACGAGGGAAAACGCCGTGTTGAATCTTTATGGCCTATTTTTCGTTTACATCATCAAAGATCACGTTATATTTATGATCTGTATTATAAGCGTGAAGCAATAACGAAAGAAGTATACGAATATTGTATAAAACATGGATATGCTGACGGAAATTTGATCGCAAAATGGAAGAAGGTATGTAAAACTTTAGAATTCAAACCATTTTGGTAAATATAATTACTTACTTATTTACTCTTCTTCATAAATAGCCTGGATTTGAACGTCTTTGTTGCCTTCGATGCATCCAACCTAAAGATACAAATTTTGGTACGACATGTATCTGTCGCGTACCAAAGTCAAAGTTGGAAGCGGGACGCATTGTCGAATGTGTTTTATGCGGTTGCAGGTAGTTATTAATCATATAAAGTTTACCATATGAATACACGTATACTAAATTTTTTTGACGCTATAGGGGCTGCTCGAGTACTGATTTTACATCGTCCAAAAAAGAAAAATCGAAACAGAAAGTATTTGAAGATCAAAATCAGTATCCACCAGAATTGCAGAATGAGCAATTTAACCAAGCACAATCTAATGATCCTAGCCAATAATAAAAAGAAAAAAAATCGGCTAAAGCTAATTTTCGGTTTAGTTGGTCAATTTTTTTCTTTATGAATCGGCTGATCGATTTCTTATAATATTTCACGCATAAGTTCTTGGTCGTTACAAAAGTTGATTTTTCTGTATATATCTTGAGTCATACTTTCTCGTGTAATATCAAATATACTTTATACCTAGAGATAAGTGCGTAAACGATGTCAGACAATAGATTTTAGATCAATGAGAAGTGGTACAACACTTTTAATTAGCATTAAGGTTTTTAATTAGCTCTATAAAACATAAATTGTAATACGACTGAAATCTGGACACTCATTGGGCTTTTTAAATTTTTCAAATTTTTCAATAAAAAAATAATTTCATGAATCTCTTTTATATGACATCGCCAGATGAATGCACATCACTTATAATAGATGTTAAATGTGGCCTATTAAATTTTTCATGGGTATTAATTTGTAAAAAGATATCTCTTTATCCAAGATTTCAATAAGACCTTTATTAGTAACTATAATATACTAGAAACCGGTACAAGTCCGAAATTTTCAGGGGCGGAAAATGCTGAAAATCGGTTTTGATATTTCTATTATAAATCCATCAAAATCGTAAATTCAGTCATCAAAACATGAATCCTCCGCTTCGCTCCGGACAAAAAGGCAACAATCCTTTAGTTATACATCAAATTCCAAATCATTGAGAACACTATTTAGAGCCAACTTGTAATATAGTAGGTATGACTTGGAATATCCTAGAATAATCAAATCAGGCATAAATTTTATCGTTATATAAAACCTATCTTCAATTTTTACATGTTATCACGTGATATTGCCATTTCGCGAAAGAGTGTCTAGGGTTATGCTGCGATGCATTATGTGCATAATTTGCAATTTTTACTATATGAAAATCGTATAATTGGCTTATTTTTATGCAAAATTTAATTTGGCTAAAAAAGTATATTTAACTGTAATCACCTGACTTGACATGCTTTTCTGAATTTAATTGGCTAATAACTTAAAATTTCGCATAATTTGCTAATTTACTATTTGTCGCATGCATAATTCTAGACACACTAATTTAGAACTTACTGTGAAGTTTAAAATTTATCTCTATATATATTGAATTTAAGATTTAAAAATTACTTTTTATCAATAAAAGTGTTGTAGAAAATAACTGCAATTTTATAATTTTATTTTTGACTATACAATTAGTCTATTTCGAAGCTTTTTTATCCCAAAATTTCTAATCATTTTCTAACACATTAAAGCTAATTACACATTAGATATATTTTTGTGTTATGCTCTTATATATTTTATGAATTAAAGTAATAATTAGAGCAGTTATTCTATAATTCTAGCTAAAATAATTGCTAAAATAGTTATTCAAATAGCCATATTAACGGGGATCCTTAAAAAATGAAAATTTTTTTTACCATCATTGTCATTGTATAATATTCGCTATACATAATCAATGCATGGCAAGCTATTAAAATCTATGTCTCCCTCTCTTGAAAAAATTGCACCCAGATTATTTGTACAAAAAGTTTGTATTATATTGATTTGATGAATTGTTGACTTTTAGGATAGGTGTTGGTCATTTAATCAAAATATACTACAACTTGCTAAAAAATAATAAGGGATTTTGGATGAAAAAAGAAGAGTTTATTATAATACAGACAAATGGAAAAGGATACACGAAGATTAAAATTTTTAGAACGTCAGATATTTTGAACATACAGCTAAAGAGTGTTTTTGATTTGACGTACTTGCAAAACAGACAAAGGCAAATAAAAGACAACATCGTGATTTTTGTGAACTATACATAAATACATATGATTATATATATTAAAATATAGTATTGTATGTAAAAGGAATTTTTGATGAAGAATGTCGTTGTTATGAAATTGGCATATTTATATATCTTGCTCTCATTAACTCTTCAATCCAATCCATATTTCCACAACTCATAACTCTTTTCATATTTTCACCATTTCTAATATAATCCCACTTTGTTACAGCATAATTTAATGCAGCTTCTTTTAAACGAGCGTCACCAACTTCCCAAGCTAACATTAGAATCTCATCCCAATTATCACCATTGACCATATCTGCGATACGATCTGCAGCCATTTCACCAAATTTTTCAAGATTCAACATGTCAGCCTTCGAATAAACATCCTTTAAAACATTAAATTGCAATCCTTCTTCTAGTTTGCCTGTATAAAGATAATATAATATAGAACGAAAAGTTGTATATTCCATGTGTTTTATAGGTATTGTCTTCATCTGTCCTTCTTTCCACTTATCACCTAATAGTTTTTCAAAATAAGTGGATCTTGTAGCCAGGATTACTCGATGAGCTTTAATATTCGAACCACAATCAAAGGTAAATTCCACATCACTAAATTTTCCATCGTCTAAATGTTGCTTAAATGAAGGAAATTCGTCGACGTGTTCAACAGGTTCATCTGTTGAACCAGCAGACGATGAAGAATTGAATATTTGGACTCTCACAAGTAAGTCAATTTCAGTTGTAGTATCACTATTCGGAAATAAATTTTCAAATGAGCAGAAACGATGACGACCAAAATCATCTAATCCATCAAATTCAAATTTCATTGTAAAAGTTTCCTCACGAATCAAATGAGAGATTGTTGACGAAGAAGGTGAAGTTGGATCAGAAGAGAGACGAAACACTTCTAATTTAAAAGTTTTTTCTCTGCACGTTATATTTGACAGTTTTTCATATGGAGTTTGAATAGCGACTAAATATAAAGATATATGTGTTTTTGCAGCTTCATTAACACCATTAGGATATAATTTGATTCGCCATAAAAAAGGCTGATCATTTTGTTTATTCTTTACGGAAGAATCGTTCGTTAGTGGTGGACGTGGAGACCAGAATCTATCACTTAAAACAAAACCAGTATTTGGATAAAAGGTGACCAAATCATTAAAACCTCTGATCGTCCAAGAATAAGTAAAATGGCTCAGAGCATGTTTAGAAGGTTGTCGCGTTGCCTGGTCTGTAGTCATATCACGAGTATCGTTACTTCTGACTGGAACCGAAGATCCACTTTCCCTATGTTGTCGTGGCCGCGAACGGATAAACCGTTTTCTGATTGTTAAAGGAGGCATATTATATATACGACAGAAAAGAGAGATTGTCAGAAAAGCATTATAAATGGTTTTATATTTTCAAGGTAAAACACAAGATGGTAATGAAAAAGAGGCAAAAAAAAAAAACCCCCAAAAAAAAACAAGATTTTAAATAATAAGTTTATAATAGGTTAACCACTTCAAGGAATACACCAGTTACATACAATGAGAATTTGTTGGGCATCAAGAAACTACTCGCGAGTATGGCGAAGAAATTATCATGAAAGAAACATATGGTAAGATAAGTACAAATGATGACTTCATTATCGATCGACAAATTCGTGTCTTAATTCATAAGCAAGAATCGGCACACCTAACGCTAACGCTAATTTTTAATGAAAAATTCAAAAATAGCTTTTTTTTTTTTTTTTTTATTGGCTTATTTAGTTAAAAACCACTATATATATATATATATATATACTTTATATATGATTAATTTAATATATACAACTTTTTTTTTTTTAATGATTAAAGCTTTTTTTTTTAATTTAAAAAGAATTCTTTAAGTTACAAAGACTATTATATACAGCACAGTCGTACGTGCGTACTTGGGTTATATTATATTGTACAATATTTTTTCTTATTTGTTATCTTAGTATTCCATATTAAGCGAAATAAATTTTTTATATATTTTATATATTATTAATAATAAATTAAGTATTACTTGTGGTAAAAATTATATATATATATATAGTGTATATTTAAAAATTAACCCAATTTAAGATTAGAATAAGGGTTGGCTTTGGGTTGAAGAGTTATAGTTTATGCTAAAATTTTGCAACAAATTTTTTTATTTAATAAATTTTACAGATTTACATAATAAAATTTAAATAAAATTTATTATAGTAAATTTAACTTGATAGTTGTTAAAAAACTTTATTTAAAGTTAAAAAAAATTTTGATGTATATTTTTAAATTTTAAAAAATATTATATTTTAATAGCTACCAAATCAAATTTAAAAAAGAACTTTACCATAGTGATGTATCGCTACCCCATTGTCACGTCCCGTGATGTCGGGTCACAATATTCAAAACCCGCATATGATTAGTAATAATGATTACTAATCATAAGCGGGGCTTGAATGTGACCCTGAAATTACAGGATTTTGACTTTAAGGATTTGACTTTAGATTTTGACATAGACCCGGGGGTAAATTACAAAGTCCATAAATAAAAAGTTTCTTTAAATTTGATTTAGTAGTTATCAAGATATTTTTGCACAAAGATTTAAAAAAATTTTTAAATATTTTCGTATAAGGCCATAAAAATTTAATTACTTGGTTTTCATAACTTGAAACTTTTAAATAGACCCACAATGGGACATCTGGCAAAAAATTGACCGCCGAATATTTGCTGATTCGATCGGTCAATTTTTTGCCAGATGTCCGAAAACAGCATATATAAAATTTTATAAAAATTCCGATTCGATAAGTTTTGGTTTGGGTGTGATTAGTAATATAGCTTTGTTTAGTCAGTACGAAAATTTATGACAAAAAATTGTTCTTGCCAACTAACAAATAACGAAAACATAAAAGGGTTCTGAATATAAGTTAAGCTTACATAATAAACAGGGTTGGTATGACCGGTCGAATGGTCAAGCTTGACTAGACCAATTTGACCAATTTGACCAGTCTTGTCAAAGAGTTT